GAAAAGGTAAAGCTTACGCGAGTCATGACATCAGCATTAGGATTCCAGCTGTTGAAATCTCCAATAAGCGTCGCCCACTGCAAAATGCATAAAGAGAAATAAGAATATACTATATGTTTACAAAACTAATTACCATACAAAATTGGGAAAATAGTAGCGAAGGCCCCCAAACTTGGACATGCAATGCACCTTGGTCCCCATTATTTGAAACAGAACATTTACATCCACAATTTTTCATTTTAGTAGCACTTAAGCTAAAACTTTATTAAAATGCCAGTTTTATCATTATCTTCAAATAAACAAAAAATTATTATAAACAAGAATGAAAAAATAATTATTCTCCTTTCCCCAAGCCATGTCAAAGCGATTGGCGATGATTTGCAATAGTAGTTGTTTGGACAGGAGGTGGCCTGGGTCGGGGTGGCTTGGAGAAGAAGAATTTATTTTTTCTTGTTTTCTATTCATTTTTTATTTTTAAGAGAAAGGTAATACCAATTTTGAAAAAAAAAGTAAAAAAAATTATATTGTTAATTAGAGACAATGATAAAATTGACCAATGGGGACCTAAGTGCCATTGAAATGAAAGATTGGGGATGTAAATACTACATGTTGAAGATTGGAGACCAAGGTGCAACAAATGTTAAAGTTTGGAGATGTCTGATGCTATTTTTCCTATAAGAATTGTAAATATCGTTGTAATAGTTCAACTACACCAATTCACAAGAAAATAACAACATATTTGATCCTCTAAACAAAAAGAGAGGGAAGAGGAAACAAACCGTGGTTTTACTCAAGACAAAATGTGAACAATATCAAAACTAGTAACGTAAAATACAATGTATATAAATCCAAACTGAATTTTTTAGATAAGCAATCTAACCCCTAATTGACAACCATTCTTTCATAACTCTTTTTTTTTTTTTTCTCATACTCATTTTCAACCACACATTCTCAAAATAAAATATTCTTCACGTAAACTCAAAAAATTTTCCTTACATTTTAACCACACGTTCTCCAAAAATTTACTATTCAAAAACTCATTCTACACAAAAAAAGGCTGTCAAACAGGGGTAGTAAGATTTCCCCAAACTCATTGAAACCCCTCTAAAATGTTTCTAGTACATCAAACTAGAAGCAACCAACCAAATTAAGCCAACAGGCAGACAGACTAGACCAAGAAGGAAAAAAACACCAATGTGCACTAAACGAGATTCCAAGAGAACAAGAAACAGTTTACATAAAGAGAACTTTTAGCCAGATACAAAGTAAATGCTTGCTCTTTCTTCCTTTTCACAAGACACTAAAGGACATGATCTGGATGGATAAAAAAAGTATTGCAGAATTCCAAGAATAGTTGTTAAAGAAAACTATTTGAGAAGAGAAGTATTATAGCGAGGAAGAAGAATATTGCTCAAAATTAAAGAAATAAATGGTACAAACCTTGGCACCAGGTGCCCATTCCCTGTAAGTTATACCTGTTGCACTGCCAATACAAATATAGATAGCATTAGTATAGAAATGTCTATTAACCACAACTGGAGGGAAAACTGTGCAAAGCCAGCTTCCTTTTAAGAAGATATAACAGTACAAAGATCTGTCCAGTCCTTGAAGCAATAAACATCTATGAATTTCAAATTTAGATGAACAAACTCACATGCACTTCACATAATTCAAGATGGTGTAATACCAACATTTGAGTCTTTCCCATAAGAAAAAAAACACAATCAGAAGTTTATCAAACCATTGGATCTAAAGAGAATTAATGATATTTCCTCTTACAAAAAATGAATTATTAGGAAATCACTCTTGTCAACATAACTCAAAACCCTGGCTACTCGATTTGGAACATAAATTTCAACTCCTTGGTGGCTGCAATCCTTTTAAGTATGACATGTTTAATTTAAGTAGGGAGGAACACCTCGTCATAATATCAAGCTTATCAAGAAATATGTATTCAATTGGAAAAACAAAATATTGGATATCAAATTCTGGAAGATAATTCAAATCATCAACTTAAGGAGAAACCAGCTTTACAAAATGTATTATTAAAGTGCAAGTGCAAGTGCAAGTGCCAAAATTGCACAACAGAATTTTTGTTCAACCAACTGCATTCAGTTGTCAACTAGGATGACCTCCATGTAAGTAATCTGATGAAAAAAGGAAGAAAACAATAGTGCTCATAGAGTTAAGTAATATTACCTGCGAGTAAAACCAAATTTCTCATAACCACGAGAAAACATTTCCAACCCACCCTCGTACTTGTCAATTGCTTCACGCATTTTCTTATAGTGTCCATACCTGTAAATGAACAACATATGTGGTGACAAAACAGATTGATGTACTTCTGGATGCAACTAACAGGAGTGGCACTGCTAAAAGCTTCTAGCAACACATGCTAATTGATGACCGTTTCTAAAAAATATTATAGCGAACTTTTAGGTTTCAAACTGTGAGATTCTCTCACACAAACACCATTACACGTATGTCCAAGCTTCAAGCGCTTAAACTATACTGTGCACCTCAAAAAAATTTAACTCCATCCTACACATCAGTTCAAACTAAAACATTTGAAAAGAAGCTTACCGGTAATCAAGATGATCACGATGATTGGTCAAAAGTGAATCTATCTCATATATCCTTTGACCAATTCCAGGTGGAGTGATAACCCTCTTTCTGACCCTTTCTGATTCGGTACTTATAGACACATACGATGTGTCTGAAGTTCCTTCAGCCTTTTCTACAACATGGAGATCTAATAGTGGTGAAGATGCAGAATCTTCCTCTCTGATGGTTTCACTAAAACTGGTACTCTGCTCAACAAGATTTTCTCGATCTTCAAGTTTGCTTTCATGTTCCATTTTTAAACTTTCTAAATCATTTGATATCTATGGAAAAGATTTGTGCATAGAAAAAAAGATCAGTGGAAGGAAGATATAGTTGTTATAAAAGGTAGCATTCACAGTCATTTTCATTTAAGCAGATTGAAGATGTCGATTCCGATAACAGATAGGCATCTAGTATTTGCTCCAGGATTTCTCATTCTGAATTGTAGCAAAGTTGAAAAGAATCATCAATTCTGATATTTAGTTATATATTTAAATTGAACACATAGGCACCAGATAAGTAATCGAATCTAAGTTCATTTCCAGAAAAGAGAATATTTCGGTACTGGAAATCGAAGAGAGGCAAAGGAAGAAAAGATGTCAAGTTGAGGTAGACATGGAGCTTGTCAACTGAAATGTCTAAAGTTGATCCATTATCAGGTGGGTCCACAAGAGTTTAGACTCCAAAAAAATAGTGCTCCAACAAAATCTTAAATTCCACTCCAGTAAACATAATCTTAAACTACTAAAACTTTTATAGTGACCTGGACATAAAAAACTTCAAGCCATGTCAAAAGAGATTTCATCCCATCTCCCAAATATGAAGTTCACAAAATACCCCAAATGTCAAGGGTTCAAAGTGCATAGTTCAGCAAAAGTCTATGAATAGATCCCGCTACCACCGACAAACCTTTCTGATGTATAGGAAAATGCCTTTTAAGGCTTTATTCCAACTGTGAGAATTTACACAATAGCTCTAGCTATATTTAATTTGAGTTTTAATGATCAGCCTCCTTTTTTCCAGAAATTATAAATTTAGGTAGCATCACAATCAACAGATCAACTTTCCATGTAGTTATAGTTCTTCCAGAACTTCTAGAATGATTCAAAAAGACAAAAAGTTCTCTAATTTCAAGTTACTGTTGTCATGTAACTCCATTTAAATTCCAACAAAAATCTCCACAGGAACTGGTCAAATAATGTACCATATTTCCTGAAAACTACAATATTTTTGACTCTCTGCTTCATCTTGCTGTCCTAATAGGAAAATTGGTCATCAACTTTTTAAACAGCAAAAAATAGTAGCAAAATTAAATTATCACACACACAAAGTTCCCTAAACCATTGACTATCAAAACTTCCATGTTGTTAAATTGTTGCAGCAAGTTTTTCTTCTGGCAGTGTCTCCAATTAGTCAATTATAACAGACCAGCCCAGTAAGGGTTTTATCTAATACTTGTTGCAATAATAAAGTTTCTATCAGATTTTCAAATTATTTCATCCATAACCTTATAGCATGTTTAGGAGTGCCTAAAAGCTCCTTATAAGCATTCCCAAACATGCAATTAGTCTCCTCAGTTTCATCTTTGAGGACAATAAATTTTGAAAGGTCCCTACCTTTCATTGATCATATCTTTGGCTTAACTCCAAGTCTCATACACGAGTCCTATATTATGCATATGATGTAGCTTAATAATATTATAATACAACGTAATGAGAACAATTCAATTGATCATTTATATTCCAAATAGGGAGTTTCAGGTTTTAGAGGTTGATGGGGAAAATGTATATAATTTTCTAATTGAAAGATGCACTTGAAAAGTATAAAAATTCAAGTAATTTTGAGGTAAGTATTAACTTAATTTTAGTGGCAAGGTTAGAAACATATCAACCTCCTTTCCTTGAGGGGTGGCAATAAGAACTGTATGGATGTTCTTATAAATAACAAGCTTCCAACTAATCGAGCTACTTCATGTCATACACTTTGACCTTTATAATGAGATAGAGATTTTTATTTCCCACTACGTAATTTTTATTATTATTTTTTTTTTTCGGGGGGAGGGGTGGTGGTGGATGCAGAAGGGAGTGCGTTTCATGCACATGCCTGTTTATCTTCTGAAACTATCTCAGAAAGGTTCGATTCCTCTGATGAGGACCCATCACTCTGGGTGCAAGGAATAAGGACCTTCTCTGATGCAGTTGTTGAAGAAGATTGAGATACAGAATCATAAGAAGACTTTCCAGCAAACATCTTCCCTACAAACAAGAACCAGATAAGCTACATCTTTTAAAAATATCCCATACCCATTACAAAAATTTATTTTCACAAAATAGATTATAGTCTGAAAGGGCAGAGAACCATTTCTTCATGTAAACAGAAAGCAAGGCAATGAAAGAAAGGCAATAGAAATTTAAAAATAAAAAAAGCAGACAACAAAGAGGAACTCACAAGCTGCTACCAAGTCCTAAAATCATAGGTTTATCCATCTCATTCACTTTTTTTCCTGGTATGTCAAAAAATTTCCAAGCTGTGGGCTAATCTTAATCTTAATTCTATTCTCCATTCATCAAATTTGTCTTCTACTCAAATAACATCGCAGTTCCGAAAAATCAAGAAAGTACACCAACGATTAAAAATATTATTTCAGCATTAGAAACTAAAAATAAACCAGAGAAGCACATTGAAGCGTCCAACTGAAATGAACTCCACAAGTCAATTGGACGCACTAATATCTTCTCTAATCCACTCAACTAAACCTTATTCCATACCATCTCCAGGCTTCCTCGCAAGAAAGTACAATTTAAAATGAGCCCTCTAACTTATAATCACTAAAAATCAATACAGTTTTAAACAAACCATTCATTCACAACACAGAAAACAAACTCCGCGTGACCCAATTGAATAAAACGAAGAACAGAGTCAAAAGATAGGAACTAATACAGATAGATGAATACATGGAGGAAAAAAGAGAAAGCAGTTGTAGTACATGAATGAGACTGATTCTTCATAAAAAAGGAGAGATGGAGATTCCTCCAATCAGCACGAGAGCTTGATCCCGTACCCAACTTGTTCACCGATGGCACAATCGGCAACCGCACCCCTGATAGGGTATAAACCATTTCTTTCAAGATTTTCCTTCTCTTTTTGAAAAAATAAAAACCCAACTACCGTATTTGATTTTGAAAATCAGATCCGGCAACTCCGAGTAACCGAGTTCAAGTGCCTAGAATAGTGTGAAGGTTTTTGATAATAATATGAGTGATAATAATTTGAGTATTGAATATGCGCACAAGAAGGGTACGTGTGATGACGAGGTTGCATGGGATTTTTTGGGTTGGTGGGTGGGGTCTACTTAAATTTCTGTCTTCTGTTCTGCATCGTAGGATTCTGGAATTTTAAATAAAGAAATGAGATGACAGCCCCAAAACATTACAATTTATCGCAGTTAGGTTCCCATTCATTTTTTTCTGTCAAATTTGGATTCTCAAACTCTGTTTTAGTGCTCCTAAGGATAAATAGATTGAAATCATTCAATTTTTCGTCAAATAATCACTTAGCCCCCGTTTGGTAGAGATTAAAATCAATTTTTTAGTAAATTTTGATAAAAATTGATGAATTGTGTGGTTAAAAAATTATGGGTCCCATGAAATATGTTATTAAAATTAATTGTTGACTTTGATTTGACATTTTAATTGAATTTTAATCTAAACCAAACAGGGTCTTAAAAGAAACGTGATCTCCATTCTTCAATAGGACCTAAGATTATGGATAGACATTTATTCTTTTAAAAGAATGGGCCATGAGTCTTTCAAGTAATTACTTAATGAAAATTGAACGATTTCTGTGCATTTGTCCTCAAATGAACCAAAAGATATCATATGAAGACCTAAATGGAAAAGAAAAATGAACGGGGACCCAAGTAGTTATATTTGAGGATTCTGCCATATCTCTTGATTTGTAAAATCGCGGGCCATACTATCAATGGCCATGTTGAATCTTAAAATATTAGGAACCATAGTGTATGGTGACGAGTATACAAGATCAAATTTAGGGTCTGTTTGTTTTTTATTCTCAAATTATACAGTAAATCAATTTTCATTTTCAACCACACACTTTTTAATAAAATAATATTTTCCATCACATCAATAATTTTTTTCTTTTTCAACCACTATTCAAAAATCAATTCTTCCCCCAAAAATCTCTACCAAACAAGCACTTAATTTATTGGCTTAACAAAAGCAACATCGTTTCACTTTTTCAAGGCTTGGGTAAAAGTTACTTTTTAGTCATTTTTAAGATATATTGTGTGATTAATAAGTTGTACCATAACATTTTAAGATGAATGTATGAGAAATTTTGGTGTCCGGGGGTTATTAGGTAATCTGTCGAAATCGAGATTAAAAAGTGTGTTTCAATAATGTTAGCTTAAAAAGTAGAAAAAATTTATGAATTATGTGTAAAATTATCATACTGGAACGTGTAATTGAAAATGAGTTTGAAAAAGATGAATACCTTAACTCATTTTCGACTAAAACTTTGATGAACCCAAAACTTTTATCAACTTTTCAACCACGTATTTCACTAATTTCTATCAAAATTTACTAAAAATCTCATTTTTATCCAAACCAAACGAAGACTGAGCCTATTTGAGCCCCATTTTCGATGTAGAATGCATTTTAGAATAGTAAATTGACGAAGAATGTGTTGTTAAAAAATAAGAAAAAGTTTTTTATTTGCGTGTAATATTATTTTATTGAAGAATGTGTGGTTGAAAAAAAATGTATTTTGAAAAAAAAAAATGGGGATCAAACAAGGGCTATACTCATCTTCAATTGTACACAAATCGAAGCTGTCAATGAAAAGCTATAGCAAATGGTAATTGGTATACTTCCTTGAAAACTTGAAGAAATCTCTGGTTGCTTATGAGTGCACTGTTATGCATGTTCACACTCGAAATATATTACACTGTCGAAGAAAATATGCATATAAATTCAAAACTATTTCATCAATCTATGAATAGTGCGATTGAAAAATTGTGGATTTCATGAAATATATGATTAAAATTAATCGTAGACTTTGATTTGATATTTTAATTGAATTTTAATCTAAACCAAACAGGGTCTTAAAAGATACGTGATCTCCATTCTTCAAGAGGGCCTAAGATTATGGATAGACATTTATTCTTTTAAAAGAATGGGCCATGAGTCTTTCATGTAATTACTTAATGAAAATTGAACGATTTCTGTGCATTTGTCCTCAAATGAACCAAAAGATATCATATGAAGACCAAAATGGAAAAGAAAAATGAACGGGGACCCAAGTAGTTATATTTGAGGATTCTGTCATATCTCCTTTCAAATATCTTGATTTGTAAAATCGCGGGCCATACTGCCAAGGGCCATGTTGAAACTCAAACCGTTGAAATTGTTTATAAGTAGAAGTTTTTTGAAAAGCAGCTTTTGTGAAAGGGTTAATTCATTTGTACACAATGGTTTGTACATAATGGATTATCCCTTCTCACATAATGCGCGGGACTCGCGTGTATTTAACAATTCCTACAATGTGATCTCCACATCCATTGTGAGTAGTAGATAAAAGATTCGGTAAAAAAATTCGATACATGTAGCATGATCTTTTGTGAAAAGTGTTGTTTCAATAATGTTGGCTTAAAAAGTAGAAAAAATTTATGAATCACGTGTAAAATTATCTTGCTGGAACAACGTGTAATTGAAAATGAGTTTGAAAAAAATGAATACCTTCACTCATTTTCAACTAAAATTTTAACGGACCCAAAACTTTTATCAACTTTTCAACCACGTATTTCACTAATTTCTATCAAAATTTACTAAAAATCTCATTTTTATCCGAACCAAACGAAGACTGATTTGAGCCCCATTTTCGATGTAGAATGCATTTTAGAATAGTAAATTTATGAAAAATGTATTGTTAAAAAATAAGGAAATGTTTTTTATTTGCGTGTAATATTATTTTATTGAAAAAAATATTTTTGAAAAGAAAAAAATGTATTTTAAAAAAACAACAGCTATATTCATCTTCAATTGTACACAAATCGAAGCTGTCAATGAAAAGCTATAGCAAATGGTAATTGGTATACTTCCTTGAAAACTTGAAGAAATCTCTGGTTGCTTATGAGTGCACTGTTATGCAAGTTCACACTCGAAATATATTACTGTTGAAGAAAATATGCATGTAAATTCAAAACTATTTCATCAATCAGTGTCGCGCACAATCTTTTTCGAGGGAAGCACAACTGCAGCCACTGGATTATACTCCAGGCCACCACCTTGATCTATTATCAATCTGAGTTCATCAATATGAAGCTTCCCATGATGACCACTTATCACAGCAGTTGGAGTTTTAGACAATTCCTAACAAAAGTCATGCAGAAAAGAGAATGTTATGAACTGTTTTCTTATGTAAGATTAAGTAAAAAGTTCGACTGAGCAATCACCTCAGGAATGTCCCATACGTTCTTTCTCCCGCTGAGAGCTTCGACTTTAGGGATTCTTGTGTCTTTGGCTTTCAAATATTTTAGCTGCTCTTCGACCCCTTTACTTTTCTCCAAACCAGCATGTACAGCAATCAGTTTATAATTTTGGAATCCATCCTTAGTCTCTATGCAAACATCGTCCTCCAGATTTCAAAAAATGCAAGTATTTTGTTAGCTTTCACTATGTATACTTACGCTACGTCAAATATTAAATTTAAATAAATAATTGTGTCCCTTCATAACAGTTTAAGCTTTTAGACAAAGTTAAGATACCAAGTTTAGGCCATGGAATGACCCTATTATGAAAATTGTGCACATGTTATGCTTTTGATAAAAATGAATACAGCGTGCACGTGAGGACGTGTGTTGAGAAATGTGTCCCCTCTCTTCCATTTTAAATTGTTAGATGAGGTGACGTGGTTCAATAGAATATAAGCAAAGCAAACCATTGGTGCGTCTCAAGTTCATCCCACACGGCACGCATCCATTGGAAAACTATACCGATTGCTCCGTGCAAAGAAAGATACAAAGAGGAAAAAAGAGCGACTAGAAGCTCACTTCTTCATGTACCCAAACCAAATCAGCAAGAAATTTCTTGTGTTCGTCAGGAACTGCCTTAACCAAATCTGCAAACAAGATAACCTATCTTAACTGTTGCATCTCCAGAATTAGAAACGAAGTTTCTGTTCTTTTTAAGGTGAGAAGGGCTTTGAAACATTAACATATTCAAACTGAATAAAGATTAAATAAATTTGGCATCAAATGATCAAGAAGTCCTAACCTAATTAGGTACCTGAACTGTGAACTACTATTATCAAACATGATTACAAAATTACCAAAGTTATCAAGTTGCAGAATTGACACAGGAACTAATTAACAGGGAAGCATAGAATCTCAGCAAGCACAAGTTAAGATATCACCCTAGGAAATTTTTGGAGAGCGTGAATTTGCACCACAGATACATTCATTGGGAATTCTTGATCTAACTTCAATGTGTTCAGGCTCTCAATAAAATAAAATTTGCTCATCTTGTTAACTTACAACTCGAGAGCATATATTAGACTGATATCACAGTATTCCAAAGTGCTAGCCCCACAATCATGTTAACCTTCTCCACCCACCCCTGCAGATTAATTAGCTAGGTTCCTCATATCAAGAAGTGCAACCTCTATCCTATAGACTTGGCACAGAACTGTGACATTTGTCTGTTTAGCACATAACCTTGTGTCTCTCAACGTTGATTCAATGTAAAAGGGCGTAACTCGTGTCCACCTTTTTTGTATTTTTCTCTCAATCAACAAATGGCATTAGACATGACCTGTTGTTTCTTTCTTTACCTTCATTTCCTCGTGTTTGGATGTGTAGCAATCGAGCATGTGTACACACACAGTGATAAACATACATGAGCGTGTATATGCATGCACTCGCCTATATATTATTATGTCGATTCTCCCTATTGGTCAAATTCTGAAAATCGATGCAAGGATGGCAGTATGATCTCACTCTCAGTCTCACTCCCTTCCCGTCTTGCTCTTGAGTTATGATTCAATGTCATAGAGTATATTCCCATCAATATAAGACACCCCGTTCATCATTAAATGATGAACAACAGTTAAAGCCTGTGTATAATCGAATGCAAAAGAACACATTTGCAAAAATATGACCACTGTGCATATCTGGGAAAGACTAGAAACACATTAGTGAAGCATAAAACTAAAATCAAATGAAGCAAAACACATAAACCGTCACTACACAAAGCAGAAGGAATCATTCGTGCTTGCTAAAACAGGAGAAACGACCAGCATTAACAAATGACATTATATACAGTACTGACTACTCCATTTTCAGAGTTCAAACCAATCAGAAAACCACAAATAGTTAAAGAAACCACAAAATCAAAGAAAAATCCCATTTGACAAGGTAGAGAATCTAATCCAACAAAATCACTCAATGCAATAACAGAGACAATACACAATCTAATCCTGCATTCCACAAATCTAATCCAACACAGTCACAATTTCCAAGATTCATATATATTAGAAACAAAAGAAAACATTTTCAATACTCAACAATAACATATTCAACAAACTCCATTTCGCAAAAGCAAAATTTATACCAGCAGATCCATGAGGGACCCCGTAGGACTCGAAAGTGGGTCGGGCATCGTAAATGGAGCCATTGTATTCGGTATTCTTAGCACGATTAAATCCAGTCATTCTGCCAGCCCACCTCCTCCCTTGCAAGTGCATATTCTCATAACCCTCACCTTTGTACCACAGTTCTCTCGTCTCATTCATCTCGTACTCCTTCCAAGTCTCAGAGAATGGGGTCCCGTCCGGCGGGCTCGGGAGCAGCCCCAAGAATGCAGCAAACGCAAAATCATGGTTGCCACATAGGAAAACGTGCGATTGTTTAGGGTACTTTGAGGGCAAAGAAATCAAGAAATCAATCACTTTCTTAGAGTCAGGTCCCCTGTCGCAATAATCGCCCAAGAAAATGATTCGGGCTGTCTGAAAATCAGCTGGGCCAATTAGAATTTCAAGATTGGACCAAAGATTCTGCAGCTTAGTTATGTATCCATGGATGTCACCTATGCAGCACAACACACTGGGTTTATTGGATTTCTTGTCTGCCATGTGTAATATAACAGCGTAGTATGTGAAAATCTTTTTGACGAAATGAAAGAGGAATCGGTTTCAATCATAACAAGATCAAGAAAGTAAAAGTGCTGACAGGTGCTAATCCGATGAGGGATTTATGGAGGACATTCGTCTAGAATCTAGAAAGATTGTTAAAAACTAAAAAGACATTTTTGCAGTTTAGTCCCTTTATCATTTTATAATTTTGTTTCGGGCATGTTTGTGTTGTGTGGGAGTTAAACGTTCTATTGGTCACTGAATTTTACACTTCGTCATGACTTACTCGTCCAACTTCATAAAACTTTCCAAGTGTTAGATCCATTGCACTTCATGAATCACCAAAATAGATTCCGTCTCTGATTATGTCTATCTAGTAGACGAAAAAATAACGTGATTGTTAATTGGTAAATTAAATGGATACGTGGACTTCATGTCAACCAAACACACCTTAATATTTAGCCTCTGTTTGGCACCCATTTTTTTCTCATTTTCATTTTTATTCTTTTTCTTTTTCTTCATTTCAACCACGCATTCTATCAATAAAATAAATTACACAAAAACCTAAAAATTTTCTTTACTTTTTAACCACACATTCTTCCATCAATCACTATTCAAAAACACATTTTTCTACTAAAATGGGTGTCTTGGGGATTAAAATTTGATTTTTAGTTCATTGTGATAGAAATTTTTGAAATATGTGGTTAAAAAGTTGTGGGGTCCTGAAAGATATGGATAATATTGATTGTTTGACTTTAACTTGAATTAAAATCAGATTTTAATCTGAATCAAACAGGACTTTAAAATCAAAATCTTCACCTCATGAAATGTGTGGTTGAAAAGTTGTGGGATCATGAAAGATGTGGTTAATATTAATTGTTTGACTTTCACTTGAATTAAAATCAGATTTTAATCTGAATCAAACATGCAATAGGGATGGCAATGGGGCGGGGGCCCTCCCCGCCCAGCGCCCCGCTAAGAAATTCCCCGCCCCGCCCCGTCCCGTCCCGTCCCCACCCTGTTACCTGTTTAAGGCGGAACGGGGTCGGGGAGGGGCGGGGTAGGTCATTTCCCCGTTAAAATTTTTTCTTTAATTTTTTATAATTTATTTTTATTATCCATATTATTGAACGGGGTGGGGCACCCGTTATCCGTCCCCACCCCGAACCCTCCCCGGGGCAAAATTCACAACCCTGTCCTCGCCCCGTTACCCGTTTAAACGGGTTATACCTCCTCGTAGATATCGGGTTTGTCGAATTTTTTTGTCATCCCTACCTTGAAATCAAAATCCCCACCCCCACCCAAACCATCCCACCAACACAGGGCCACCTGCCCCACCACCACTACCCACTCCCTTCATCTTCTTCCCACATATACCCCGCCTCCACCATCTTCTTCCCCACTCAATTCTTACCTGCAAGTCATAATCCAAAATCAAAATTTTGTTCACTATTTAATCCAAAATCAACATCCAAATTCAAAGCGGACCTCTTAAAATAAAATGTGATTATTTATCATTATTTAAAAATAAAAATCTGGGGTTTGGGGTGAGGTTAGGGGTGGAGAAAATGAGAGGAAAGGTAAAAAACATGATTTTGCAATTTCACATACAACTAAAATATAATGCGAATCAAAGGAAAATTGCATCCACAAAAACAAAAACAGAAGAATCCAGATGTGTATCAGTTGCTGCAGAAAGGCAAATGGTGGTAAATAGCACAATTCTAAATATCATAAAAAATTGCTTTCGAGATGGTTCTTGGAAAGACAGTTTCATGATGAAAACAAAGTTTAGTTTACCATTTAGACGTGGAGTTCACGTGTGCATTTAGTTTACCATTTACACGCAATTAACGATCAAGTCATTTTTCTTTCTTACACTGGACAAAACCGAGTCATTTTTCGAGATGGAATCGATCTGGTGACTGATGGAGTGCAATGGACTTAATTGCAGTGATCTTTGGGAAGCTTTGTAAAGTTGAGTGAGTAAATCACGACAAAATGCAAAATTCAGTGGCTTATTGGCTTATGAAACATTTACACCCTGTTTGTTTAGTGCAAAATTCAGTGGCTTATTGGCTTATGAAACATTTACACCCTGTTTGTTTAGCATTAAAGGGCTGAAAAGCATAAAGAAAAGCACCGCTAGGATTTGTGTCTGGGCGCGATTTTTGTCCAATGCCAATCAATTAATGGACCGTTGCTCACTGCAAGATGGGTCCGTCCTAGCCAGCAAAATTTGACTTCCTAAAAATGAAATGTCGAAAATGCCCGTGTATCATGCAAAACGATTTAAATGTTAATGGCAAAAAGGTCATTTTGCCATAAAATATTCAAAAGTAGGTCTGCCATGTCAGAGTTCCTGCATAGTTGGTGAAAAGCAACGATCCATGTTTCTCATTATCAACGGTAATTTTTTCCATTTTAAGTGCGCCCGACACCTCCTTAGTCCTTAGTTTCAAATGTAGATCCCAGCTATGAGACAAATGATAAAAAATGGTGGCTGCATTTGAATTGCAACTGTTAGAATTTTTCTGCATCTGAAGAATTAATGCTAAACAAACAGGGACTTAGTGTATATTTGAGCCATATTATTTTGAAATAGTAGATTGATGGAAAATGTATAGTTGAAAATAAAGAAAAAGTTATTGATGTGATGAAAAATATTATTTTATTACAAAATGTGTGGTTGAAATGAATATAAGAATAAGAATAAAAATTTTAATGTGACTGAAATATGAGCTTAACTTGTTTTCTGAAGGACTTATTTATCTACATAAACACTTTAATATTTTATTTTGTAAAATTTGAAATGGCCACTTCAACTGCGACAAAGGAACGAAGATGGCAATCCTAAATTTTGCT